AGTAGTATATATATATATATATATATATATATATATATATATATATATATATATATATATCTTTTTATATTAAAACATAATCCGGCAATTTATAACGTCATCCAATTTTTTAGGCAATTTTACAGGTGTGCAAACGACACTTGAGACTGAAATCATCCAGAGAAGAGATCAGGCACGTCGCAGCTTATTGATACAAGTATATTCACCCAAGTCACATAATGATCTCTATAACTATTGTTCACGTTTTGGTGACATTTTAAGTATGCATCACTATCAAGTAAATAGGAATCACTATCAAGAAGTATGTATCATTTGTGTCTGTCGTTTAACCATAATTATCTACAATATTGATATATAAGTATCATAATAACACCATATTATGACTTTTTTAGAATTATATTTTAGTTGAATTTAAAGATGTTGTATCGGTAGATGAAATTATGTCGTATGCTTCATTCGTAAGATCAGATTATATTGCTCCTGTGAAATCATCAGTATTATGGTTCCGTAAAGGACAAGTTGCTATCTCACAAAAATATCAGACAAAGGTAGCTTTGACTGTAGAGCATGGTTATATATATGTTAACGACAAGAAAATCTTAAATGTATTATCTAATGCAAAATCGGTAAGATCATTAATATTATATTTATGTTATATCTTATATTTAAAGGATACTTTCTGGAAAAACTTGAAAAATTTGGAATTCTCAGGACATTTTTTTATATTCTTGAAAATAAAAAAATAGCATGGAATTGTAATTCAGGAAATTTTATAAAATTTTTTATCAGAAAAATTTTTGTTAATTGTGCTTTCATTACACAATCCATCAATAATTTAAATGTTAATATCCAAACATTAAGTGACTTTCTTTTGTAACTAGGAAATATTAATAAATATATACATACTTAATAGAATAGACTTATTTTAAAGTTGCATATAGGAATCTTTAATTTGATCTGGAATTTTGTACAAGAATATCGGGAAATCTAGAATTCTCTCGTAAAAGAAAACTTTTATACGTTAAACATCATGTAATATCACAAATATTCAAACTTTATAAAATTTGTAACCTTCATTTTGCAGATATCTGGGCAAATAATAATTCTTTATGAGACGTTGAGATTAACTGATTTAGAAATAAGGCTAAGATTTCATACCGCTCAGCACTTGGAGCAATACTTCTCTGGGCTATTTCATAATATGAGAGTCCTACCATTTGGTTCCTCTATTAACGGTTTTGGAAGAAGAAAGTGTGACCTTGATTTAGTTCTTGTTCCCAATTACAGTCAGGAAGTAAATACCTGAGTAATATGTGAATTATTTATGTGAATTTAATTACCGAGCAAGTATTAATGCATTGTGATATTTATAGGGTAACTCTAGGTTGGTATTTCACTCAAAGCCTATAAGGCATAATGATAGGACTGAAACGAAAGAATTTCTAGGAGTACTTGCGAATGCTATGTACCAATTTATCCCCGGGATTTCTAATGTAAGAAGGATTCTAGAGGCTCGAGTACCGATAATTAAATTCCATTATGACTATACTCAAATTGAATGTGATTTAAGTGCGACAAATATGTAAGTTGGACAATCTTTTAATCTTGATTGGCATGAGCTTTTCTTCAGGAAGATATAAAACATGTAGAATGTCAATACCAATTTCTGCTGCAGGACTGCCGTATATATGTCCGAATTATTAAATTTGTATGGAGAAATGGATTGGCGGGTGAGGCCGCTTGTTACAGCGATACGGGTATGGGCGAAGCGTCAGGAGATAACAACTGATGTGCCAGGACAGTGGATAACAAACTTCCCTCTTACGTTATTGGTATTGTTTTACTTACAACAGAAAGAGATATTGCCATCTTTGAAAATATTAAAATTGCATGCAGGTAAGTAATTTATATCAGAAAGTTGATCTACATTGACATTGACACTATTAATAAATCATGTCCTCTTCTTTTCTTCTCATACAGCACGCGGCGATGTTCGTTGCACAGAGAATGGTATTGATTGCACCTTTCTGCGGGATATTAACAAATTGCCGGCCGATTTCAAGTATAAATTGAATCAAGACAGTCTAGAGACACTTCTGCATGATTTCTTCGAATATTATTCAACGTTCAATTTTGACATATACGGTATATGTATTCGCGAAGGTAGGCAGATACAAAAACCGTCGCACACGGCGCTCCATATTACTAATCCTCTAGAAACAACGTTGAATGTTGGTAAAAATGTGAGCTTCTACGAATTGAATCGCATAATTTCGAAAGCACAAGATGCGGTCCACACTCTAGAAACTGCCGACAAAACCAACGAGGATAACTGGGGTATCATGACATTATTGAAAATAAATAATGTTAACACGAAAAATCTAAAGAAATTGAACAATACGAAAGAATCAGAAACTATCAAAAATTATTTGGAAAATCGTTCTTATGAAATTTCTGATAAATTTGATGTTAGCGAAGAAAATACTAATGAGCCAAAAGCCAAAAAGGAAGAAATAGTATGATATTGAAATGCACAGGGACAAAATATATTCATCTTTGCAGAATATATTTCATCTCTGTGGAAACATATATGCCACATGAATGTTCCCGCATGAGATATTTTTTTTTGTACACTAGTGATTGGGATTATTATTTATAGTGGGAGAACAAAATAGAGATGTTTTACTTGACAAGTAAAAGAAAAAAATGACAGAAAGAACTTTTATCGTGGCCGATTATGTACTGTATTATATATGAAGATAGAAAAGAAATGTACATAAAATCAACATTGATTGTGTATATTAATCTTAAATAAAAAAAATCACAAACTATTATCAGATTAATTAATTGAAAACTGTTGCCATTGTATTAATACTGAAGAATTTTGTAAATAAATACTTTTTCGTATTTCATCTCTCAAAATTTCCAGTTTCATAGTCTAACAAATGTAAAATTCAACAAGTGGGAATACACATATATCTAGCATATTTTGTTACATATGACCGCGAACGCTTGTAAAATGAAGCGAGCGCGACCAAAACTACACTATGCTATATAAATAAAAAAAAAGCGTATGTATTAACTTGTATATATTTTACTATACCAGCAAAATCGACATTTCTCATACATACTTACGGATGTACATACATTCGCTATAATCAGAACGTTTATTGTAATCCTGATGAAGATTACAAGTCTCCGCTCGTAGTTAAATTCGAAACAACGATTAACGATTGCATTGACTTTCACAAGGAAGAGCCGATTCCTCGTAATACCGATCTATCTTTGCGCGCCTCTCGGATTGAAATAACTGTGAATATTATCGGTAGAGAACAATCGATAATTACATAATCGTGACTAAGACCGCGCGACGACGCGCCCATAGTAAACGTCGCAAGGCGATGACTCGATTTTTTATTAACGCGATTATTGGCGATTACGAGTAAACGCTCGAATTAGGCTATTCTTCGCGAATCGGGTATCGTCGATTAAATTCGTAATATATATCGCGACTGGCAGTGTTGTTTACTAGCTAAGTATTACCGCTTTACTCGACCGATCGACTTGCGCGACGTACTTTACTGGACTATGCATCCGACCCGTTGACGTTCAAGGGAAACTCGTGTACCATACGGTATGGATACGGTGTATGGGAATACAGCCGCTTATTTTAACGAAAAAACGAAGAAAAAATCCGCGAACCAGAACTTTTGTGATAATAAAACTGAAGTAATGCGCGTTCAAAAACAAAACAGACGTTTATCTGTATATATAGTTTAGATTGCAACGTCAACCGCGGTTCTTTTGCAATTATTGTACATTGCACACGCGCGTTTTATCTGAAAACGTTTTACTTTCTTGCTATCTCTAATCAAGGCTCTACATGTATCAACTGCCTCAGGCAAGTCGTATCAACAATACGAATAGCAATTATTCGCTCGATATAATAATAATCGCATAATCGTGCTCTCTTTTTCGTCCTCCGTTTCCTTTAACATCTGGGTTTACAATGGCAGCGATACTGACCTTCGACGTTTTCGTCATCGATATTAGAATGCAATTAAATCGCTATACAAAAGGGTATTCGCGAAAGTTGCACGTGTCATCGTGCGCGATACAACTTCGATGAGGAACACAATACAAACGTCGAAAATGTCGGAATGGATACAAACCCCACACACTGCGCGTTTGGTCGGGATCTCAAAGAAATCTCTCGAAAAGTAATATAAAGATGAGAGTGCATTTGTCGAAGATGCGCTCCTCGATAACAAAGATTTCTGATTTTCCATATCGCGCTGAATACAGACCTTTTCTTATTACCGTTATATTTATATATTTATTATCGTTATACTAATAGAATGTCCAAAATCTTCGAAAAACCGATAATGTCGACTCTCACAACAATACGCTTCCGTTGCTAATAAATAACATGTATATTTAAGCCACTTGGGGCACGGCGTTTAGTCTTTGATCATTCTTTTTCCCCCCCCTTTTTTATATCTATATATGCAATAGGCTCGCAGATATCTATTCGATATCCTCGGACGATATTTCCTTACTTATAATTCTTGCACGTGAGTAGGGGTTGCGAGTAGGGGTAAGACTGAGAACGACGGAAAGTAGCGCCTCAATTCGTCTTGCTCTTACGATGATGACGATGGTGATGCAAATGGTGATGTCGCAATTGGGAACGCGTCTCCTGCACGGCTGCCACCAAGGTGCGTACCGCTTCCTCGTGGCCCTCAAAGCTGTCCGCTTTCTTCAGTTGGCCGAGGGACGACGCCCCTGCGCCTGCACCCTCGACGCCGCCGACGACGCGCTTGCTCTTGGGCCGCGGGAAGGTCTCCCAGGAGCGCTGCTTCTGCACGAGAGACGACGACGTCCGTGAGGTCGGTCCGATCAAAACGACCAGTGTTTTCCGGGGATCCTGCGTGACGGATTGTTGACCTACCGTCCCATCGGCGATGCTAGACCGTCTGCTGTTACCGGAACCGGTTGTGCTCAAGCTGTCACAACTGGCGCGCCGTCGCCTCCTCGCGTCACTCGCTGCCTTTCCATCGCCGTAGAACAGCTCCTCGGAATCGCTGGCCGGATAGATCTTGGCGGCCTTACCGCTTGGAATCGCCGGTATCTGATCGTCCATCGGAACCGCGTGCACCTGCGCCTGCACGCGCTTCTTCGCTTCGCCCATGCTCGAGGCCTCCGAGATTCGTTGGTACTCGCCCTCGTCGCCTGCTGTAAGCACGGGACTCTTTTTAGAAGACGGTCTCATCTTCTTCGAACGCAGCGGTTGCACGAAAGTTCGCTGCGAGACGACAACGATGACGAGACACTCAACTTGGTGTTTGGTGATAAATGTGCGAGTAGATTACACGTATATATTACATGTGGACCAACATATAAATCTCTCATTAATGTACAATATATTTACATAGATCGTGTATATAAGCGTGTAATGTGGGGAACAGCGAGCAACTTTACATATTCGGCTGTCGGACGTTTACCGCCTCTAAGTCTAAACCCGAAATTTCACCCCGGTGGACTACAAAGGAAGACCTGCGTGTCATAATGTATCAGTACTCGTTTCCGCTCACGGCGGCGATCCCGCGACTCTCCTATTCTTACCGATGTGGGACTGCGGTTGCTGCAAATCGGTGCACCGTTCCGCCTGGTCGAGTGCCTCGGCGGAGGTGTCGCCGGTGCCGCCTTTCAGGGAACGATACAACGATCGCATCTTGCTGCCGGACGAGTGTCCGGGCGGCGTCTTCGGTTTCGCGCTGTCTGGCGACTTGCGCGAACGCCGACTTTGGCTGCGATCGCGGCCATCCTCTCTGCCCGGTGACTTCTTACGGTCGTCCTTCTGTGTTCTGGCTTTCTCGATCAGTTGACTAAGCACGCCGCGTTTCGGGTCAGTTGACTTGGCTGTCCCGTATACGACTATGTTACCGCTCGAGTCCAAAACGGCGCCGACGCCGCCGGACGGCGTGCGACATCGCGTCGGGATCTCTTTCGTTTCTGAACGATTAATCGATTATCGTGTTAAATACATAAATATTGAATGCATGCCTTTGTTATTGTATACCTTGCGATCTAAGGAACACCGACAGATATCGCGAGATGTTCTCTCACCTTTCATGTACAACGCATTGTCGGCACTTGTGGCAGTGCTACGTGGATGACGATGATCCTTTGTCGGTGCTTGAGCCTGCGGATGTGGCGGCGGCGGCGGCGGCTCTTGCATCTGCAGGCGCGACAAATGATCCAGCAGCGCTTGTAGATGCTGATTATCAGCCGCGTCTGCCGCGGCCATACTCACTTCCCCGGCACCAATGCCTATCGAAAACGATTTGACGAAGGGCTCCAAATGCTGAGCGAGCACCTGCAGCTTTTTCACCTCGCTTCTCAGCGACAATATGTCGTTCATCTGAACAAAATAATGATGAGGTAAGACAAACGACAGAATGCAAAGAGTCTGACTCGCGGAGAAGAGAAGAGAAGAGAACGCACCTGCGAATGGAAGATCTCCTTTTCCACGTGAATCCTGCATATCTGTTCCTCCCAGAGCGCGTCGAAGACGTTCCTCAGTCGTTCCAGTTCCATTTGATGGTGCTCCAACTGCTGTTCGAGCACCCGGCAATCCCTCGCCACGTGATCGTAACGCGTACCCAACGGCGGGGTATTTGCTCTCTTTAAAACGGAAACGTCTCGCTGCAACTCACCCAGTCGTTCCTTCACTGTCATCAACTGCTGACTTAGTTCCTTGAGCTGAGTGTCGAAGGTCCGACAGTGATTGGAGAAGGGGCCGCCGTCAGATCCGCTCTTTGGCGGCATTCTCTGAGCAGTCTTGCTGCTCTGTTGGGAAAACGTATTCCTGGCGTAAAACGCGAATGGTATATATACATACATATATACATATATCAACAATCTTATAGTCGCGTTCCTCATTTTCTCGTACTCTCAATTATTCTGTCTAAGGATCAATAAACGAAACTCGATCCTTTTAAAGGATCGTAGTACAATTGATATGTACATATGTCTGTTATAAAAATTTTATTATAAAAAAAAGTACAAGTACCCCAATACATCGAATGTAAAATCCTGCGAAAATTGCTTTTGCGAAAATATCCACGAGGGAAGAAAAATGTGACGAAAAGCGAAGGACGATCACGATGTAATTGTCGATCGACTGCCGTGCAATTTGCCATGCAATTTCTCGCTTTGTTCGTATGGGTACCTGAAGCAGTGGTTCCGACTGGCCTATTGTGTGGCCACCACTGGCCGTTTGATCGTACAAGGACTCGGTGGCGGCTTTTGGCGTCTGTACTTGGCCTATGTAGGGATGTAGGGCACGCGCAAAATCAGTCCGATAATTCGTCTTGATATGCGCCATGAGCAGAGGCGGCCGTGACGGATGGCCGAGCTGGGCGACGCGACTCAGCCGTTCCAACATCGGATGCGCCAGTTCGAGAAACTGATACTTGGTCACACCACTGGTGAACGCGGTGCATAGCATTAGGTGCATTTGCAGCACAGGTAAGGCGTTACCCAGGGCGAGCAGCTGCGTTCGCACCATGCGCTCCTTGGCCTCGAATTGACGTTGCAGTTCCGCGAGAACGTACGCGTGCGTCTTGGTGATAGCCTCCTGCATACCTTGGCAGAACGCGGTCAACGCGCGCTTCTCGGATTCAAGGCTATGCCGCAGCTCGTCTAGCTGCGACTTGAGCGCCAACACGCCATCCCTGATGCCGGCCTGGAGCTCGCAGATGGAATTCACCGCGCGTTCTAGCTTCTTCGAGGTCTGCTGCCAGGCGCTCTCGATGTCCACGCAGTGCACCCGCGCGTCCGCCGGCGTGTCGCGGAAGCACGTGGCGCACAGCATGCACTTGGCACTCTGGCTATACATTATATACTGCTCGCCGTGGCTCGGACAGCGACGTTGGGTGTCCTTGGCGCATTTGCTCATGTGCACCACTTCGTGAGTGGAGAACATTTTCGCACGGTGAGTGTGTTCTCTGCAGTGTGTGCAAAGCGCTTGACCTGCAAATGTACGACTTTGTTTCTTATAAGCTCCTTCTTCATCGCTCGTAAATTGAAAGGTATCTTTTTCTGAGGGCTTACCGCATGTCGTACAGAAAAACATAGTGGATTTATCGCGTTTGTCGCAATTGGCACATGGTGGATTTTCAGAGTTCGCCAATTCCACCAATTGACGCATCAGCTGATCGGGGGGTGGCAGCTGCGCTCCGTCTTTCAACTGCGTCTGTTGCCTGTGCACGTTACGATTAAATATTAATATTTGCAATATCACATTATTATTACATTATTATTACATGAAGAAAACTATTCTGCTGATAAACCTAAAACTTTGGCCAGATATAGATCTGAAAAAAATTTTGTTGGATCTTCAAAGTTATCATGTGCGACATCCAAATTGATTTCTAGAAGATCAAAAATTTGTTCATTATTATTATTATTATTAATAAGCATGCCAAATTTTTAAATTTGCCAGCAAAATTGCTCTCTTCGTGTATCAATCATGATATCATGAGAAAAATTGAATATAACAGTTTATAATAAATATAAAAGTCTGGTTTTTGTTAAGTTTACGGAATATTAAAGTTGTAAGTAAACCATTAAAATAAATCGATTAAGAAAATAAAAAATGTAAATCTGACTTCTTGCGTCAATGACGAAACAATGACGCCACAAATATTGGACCAATTGTCACATGTTATCTACCCGCAGATGGGACACTTGACCGTCCCGTCAATGTGCGGTCCGTGTATGCAACGGGCGCAGAAGGTGTGAAAGCAGGAAAGCAGGCAAGGCTCGTTGTAGTAATCGTGGCAGACACCGCAGGTGAGGGGATTCCTGGGCCCGCCGCCCGTCACGCCCGTCGTGCCGTCATCGCCGACCCCGTCGACCGCCGAGCTCGCCATCGTCGCCGGCACTCGGCCACTTCGAGCCGCGTCGCCGTTAACCACACGCGCGCGGACGACGCGCGCCTTCCGCTTCACTTCACGACACCGCTCCCTGTCCCATGCTCGTGTACCCCTCTGCAGAAGAGAACGGAAACGATTTATCGGAATGCTGCGCGCCCGTGACTTACCGCGGAACAACATAGACAGCGGCGTCCGGGAGATGACGCCGAGGTACGACTGCGGGACGGTGTTTAGAACGGTGTCTTTACCCCTAGACCGTCGGCTCGCCCGCAGAGAGGGAGAAAGAGAGAGAGAGAGAGAGAGAGAGAGAGAGACGCCCGGACCAGAAGGGTAGCGTTAACGGCTGCTCCTCACTCGCCGTCATTCTGACGTAGCGCGACGCGCTTCGCGCGGTGACCAACCCGTATCT